ATTTCTAAGTTTGTAAAAAAAAAATTTCTTATTTTCTAAATCTGAACATCAAAAAACCAGTAGTTTGGCAAGACATTTTTGGTTAGTTAAAATTTCATATTAGGAAACATGATGAAGATTATTCAACACATGATGAAAAAATTTCATGTCACATGGTGAAAAACATCATAAAATATGATGAAAAATATGATCAACATGATGAAAAGTCATCATGTCAACATGATGAAAAGTTATCATGAAACATGATGAAAAGTCATCATGAAACATGATGAAAAGTCATCATGAAACATGATGAAAAGTTATCATGAAACATGATGAAAAATCATCATAAAACATGATAAAAAGTTATCAACCTTTTGACTTAGTACGGCTTGCCATAAAAAAGAAGCCAAATCTACAAAAAAAAGAAAATCAAAAGTTAATGACGAATACGAAGAAATAAAATGGCAAATCTAAAAGAGAAAAATGAACCTTTAATAGAGTTCGTTAAAATAAAGTAATTTATGAAAAAAAATTACCCACCAGAAGAATCCCAATGTTAGAAACTGTTCGTTAAAGGAAACGGTGGTGGATGCTTCACTGAAGGAAGGTAGTTCAGAGCTGATATGGAAGGTGCAGAATTACAGAGACTAATAAAGAAATGCAGAGCAATTGTTAAAAAAAAATCCTGAATGCCAGTTCCTAAAGGAAAAAAAAGGAACGTTAGTGACGTTCCTATAACAAAAGGACCATATGCTTAACTTACCCTTTCACGAATTCAAGTCCGGGTGACGGTTCCTAAAGTATTTCCGTAAAAAAATAATTTTTTTAATAATTAAAGACTGAACTTTAGTGGTCCAAAAAGAAATGTTAAAACGTTTCTTAATTAATAAACACATCCGCACACACCACTCCTCATTTACCTCTATTCCTGATCATCACCGTTTCAAAAGAAGAGACGTTCCTAAAGAATAAGAATAAAGTGAGTAAAGAAAAAAATAAATAAAAAAAATGAAAGTAAACAAAAAATATACTAACCTCCCGTCTATTTTGCATTCTTAGAAATCCACTGAAACTGCCATTCCGAAAGAAGAGACTGTTCCTAAAGAAATAAAATTAAGGTGAGTAAAGAAAAAAATAAATAAAAAAAAAATGAAAGTAAACGAAAAATATACTAACCTTCCCGTCTATCTTGCATTCTTAGAAATCCACTGAAACTGCCATTCCGAAAGAAGAGACTGTTCCTAAAGAAATAAAAATAAGGTGAGTAAAGAAAAAAATAAACAAAAAAAAATGAAAATAAACGAAAAATATACTAACCTCCCGTCTATCTTGCATTCTTAGAAATCCACTGAAACTGCCGTTCTGAAAGAAGAGATCGTTCCTAAAGAAATAAGAATAAAGTAAATAAAGAAAAAAATAAATAAAAAAAATGAAAATAAACGAAAAATATACTAACCTCCCATCTATCTTGCATTCTTAGAAATCCACCGAAACTGCAGTTCTGAAAGAAGAGACCGTTCCTAAAGAAATAAGAATAAAGTAAATAAAAGAAAGAAAAAACCAAAAATCATAAAATAAAAAAAAAAGAAAAAATATATATATATATAATGAAAAAATATACTAACCTTCCCGTATCTCTTATATTTGTTCCAAAAGAGACAATTCTTAAAGAAATAAATAAAGTAAGCAAAAAAAAAATGAAAAAAAAAAATGAAAAGAAAAAACGAAATATACTAACCTTCTGGCTTCCGCACCTCTTGCATTCTTAGAAGTCCAAATCGCCGTTCTGAAAAAATCCGTTCAGTCCGTTCTTGAAGAAACTGAAGAAAAAAAAATTAATTAAAAAAAAGATCAGATAATCAAATCTGATCATCCAATCATTTTTTTTCAAGGAAAAAATTTATTGAAGACCGAATGTTAAAGATAATGTGATCATCATATGATTAGCCGCAATTACGTCAGGGTAATTTAATTAGACATTTTCAAAACTTGCAACCGTGAGAAGTATAAAAAAGTTTATTTATTAAAATATATATATAGAAGCTTATTTATTAACATATATGGGTTTTATATATTAAAGTTTTAAATTTAAATTATTTGCCTAAATAAACTTAAACATATAGACTTTTTCTTATATTAAGTTTAAAAATAAACTTTTATAAACTTTTGTTTCTTGATAATAAAATTAGTAATAAAAAAATAATTTTTTTAAATTTCGTAACTAGTACAGTACTTCCAATTTTATAAAAAAAACAATTTTTAAATTATTATTTATTTTTTTTAAAATGACAAGAGTACGAAAAGAACAAAAAACTACCATGCAAAATGAAGCAGAAGTCACAAGTAAATATTTTTTATATAAAATTGCAATATAATATGATTATAATTTTTTATTTAGTACTTTTTAATTTAATTAGAAGGTCGTGGAAAAAATGGTGGTGGACGAGGTCGTGGTCTGTCTCTTATACACATCTAGATGTGTATAAGAGACAGGTTCAGAGCTGATATGGAAGGTGCGGAATTACAGAGACTAATAAAGAAATGCAGAGCAATTGTTAAAAAAAAATCCCGAATGCCAGTTCCTAAAGGAAAAAAAAAGAACGTTAGTGACGTTCCTATAACAAAAGGACCATATGGTTAACTTACCCTTTCACGAATTCAAGTCCAGGTGACGATTCCTAAAGTATTTCCGTAAAAAAATAATTTTTTTAATAATTAAAGACCGAACTTTAGTGGTCCAAAAAGAAACATTAAAGAGTTTCTTAATTAATAAACACATCCGCACACACCGCTCCTCATTTACCTCTATTTCTGATCATCACCGTTTCAAAAGAAGAGACGTTCCTAAAGAATAAGAATAAAGTGAGTAAAGAAAAAAATAAATAAAAAAAATGAAAGTAAACGAAAAATATACTAACCTCCCGTCTATCTTGCATTCTTAGAAATCCACTGAAACTGCTGTTCTGAAAGAAGAGACCGTTCCTAAAGAAATAAAAATAAGGTGAGTAAAGAAAAAAATAAATAAAAAAAAATGAAAATAAACGAAAAATATACTAACCTCCCGTCTATCTTGCATTCTTAGAAATCCACTGAAACTGCCATTCCGAAAGAAGAGATCATTCCTAAAGAAATAAAAATAAGGTGAGTAAAGAAAAAAATAAATAAAAAAAATGAAAATAAACGAAAAATATACTAACCTCCCGTCTATCTTGCATTCTTAGAAATCCATCGAAACTGCTATTCC